AAACTGGTTGACAAGTAAGCAGTAGATTGTGTCTTTAAACTCGTTCATATTTAAATATCCTGCACTTCGCAAATACTTTTTCGAATTGAGGACAAATAAAAGGAAGATCGAAATTTCATATTATCATTTTGAAGTTATGTCTGTCGGAGTTCGAATATGGGACCACCTACAACAGAATATGTAAACAAATATGAAATCTAATAAAATAAATAAATAAAAATATAAAAAAAAAATTTTCTTATTGATACTTTATGTCCAAAAGTAGTTAGTTACAAGTAAGTTACATCAAATGCAGAGGTAACCACCCTCGCGGCCCTCGCCATAGAAATATAGTTAGCTTTCGTCAAAGAAAATATACAGATAATAGTGACTATAGCTTATAGTTAGAGACATTTCCTGCAGGATAGCGAATTGAAGAAGTACGTGATTGGTCAGAATCACGAAAAAATGCAAACTTTGACAGATCATATCTCCGAAGAAAAAAAAGAAAAAAAATCCTCGAACACGTGTTGGCTTATTTCATGTATAGAACCAATAAAAAAAAAAATTCAATCCAATCGAAATTGTGACACGAAATTTGGTGTCCGATATGAAAAAGAATGTTTCATATATACCCCCTTTTTCTAGAACCCGAATTTTCGTAATTCGTAGCTACGCTACGAAAAACGAAAAATCCACATGCTGCAACCCTTGCGGAAACATGTGCAGCATTGCCAGCTATCAGTTGTTTTTCGAAGATAGCTGAATGAAGGAAAACAAAGTGGAAAGGAATTAAAAAAACACTCATCATGTGCTTTTTTATTGTAAAATTGGTTAATTTTACATATTTCGAGGAAAATTATGGATTCTGATGTATTTGCAATTATAGCAGCAGAGTAAGCGGGCGCTATGGCAATGGTTCACAGAGGTATGCGGAGCTGTCGTGCATAGTAACCATGGGCGCATCTATCTCAGCTTCTGGTTGAATTGTTGAGACACAAGCCAGAACTCCTCCTATGCCTGAAGCTCTGGTTCTCAATCCAGTTAATGCAATAACAGCTTTTTCCAAGCCATTAAAAACATGCACTTTGTTAGGTCCACCACCTGTTGCGCTTGCTTCTGCCTTCGGCCGCGCTTAGGGAGTATAACCCTTACTAAGTAGAATTCTCCTTTCTGTGTTGCGGGGAAGAGGGGCTTCCGCATGTCAAAGGTATACAACATTTCTTGTGCATATCACTCCGGCTACGCCGTCCACAGTATTTTTGCGCAGAACCCACGTCGAAATTTGCAAAAAAGTGCATAGCGCAAACCGAGTTTATTAATAAGCTAGTGGTAGGAAATTTGAAACATTTATCTTAAATAAAATGTGAATCCTTTGATTACACGTGTATGTTACAGTTTTTGGATTCGGGTTATGCGTTTGGACACAACAACCGAAAATCGTTGTACATTAACTAAACCGGACCCAAGTTTCTCGATAAGGCGCAACAAATATTCTTTTTTGCTCGTTTATATAAAGCAGTGGATAAAAATATACGTATATGCGAAAGGCAAATTTATCTGTTTAAATGAACACCACCATTATTTCTTGCACGCACACATCGATTTACATCTTTTATTTCGCCTCCGACACAGAATTGTTTTCGTACAAAATTACGCAAAAAAGCTTACTCGTTCGTTTTTAGGCATGCCATTGTTACGAATTTCGAAAATTCGAAAATACGATTCGAATTGCAGCATACTATTTCTACGATTCGTAGCAAAATCCGAATACGAAAGAGTTGCAGAACAGGGGTGATAGTTTTGAAATAAAGCATTTTCAACGTCATTTCGATTGTTAATTTGAATACAACTTTTATACCGGTGGCAACCTTCTTCAGATACTCTTACGGCTGGTTTCTCCAACTCAACTTAACTTAGTTTAGCCACTTTTTGGACTTAAGTCAAAAGTTAGCCTACGTTTTACACAGCTTATTCTTGACTAAGTCAAGAAAATTGGCTTAACTAAGTTCAGCTGAGTTGGAGAAACCAGACCTTAGACTCTTTCGTTTGACATCTCTTTTGTCTGACACCCATATTCTGATACATACATATGTATATATTTCAATTACCTAATTGCCACAATTTAAGTTGAATTTGATTTATGAAATGCGGCAACACTTTTAAATATATCAGTTCGCAAATAAAACATTTTCAACCCCATTTCGATTGATACCCATCTTTAATCATCCGTTTAACTTACTAAATAATTTGAATTTAACTTTTTAAACAGGCAACCCTCAGCAGACATCTCAGAAATATTCTAAATGTTTAATCTAAGGATTTCTTAACACTCTTTCGTGTGACCCCATATTTTCATATTTTAAACAACTTGCGTATAAACAAATCAATTAAATTCGACTTTCCTAACCCTCTTCAAGGTATTTTTAAAATAAAACTATTTCAAATACCTTTCATCTGGCACCAATATATGTGGTTTAAATTAAATTTCATTTTTGTAAACAGGTGGCAACCCTCTTACATGTAGTTAAAATAAGTTAATAGAAAAACAAATATTTTTAAAGCAAGCTTTTTAAATATGCACAAAATCGGACGATAAATACTGGTTTACCAAATATATCGACTCCTGCGCCACCTATCGGCAAAATTTTTAGTGGAGTTATTCCTTTTCATGTAATTAGTATGCGTTCTAAATATCAACCAAATCGGACTATAAATACGGGATTTTCAAATATCTCGACTCCTGCACCACCTAGCAGAATAATTCATCTTTCGTATTGCATTGTCATCGGGTTCTGAGCCAACTGTGAAGTTTCAAGCCTCTAGATTATCGGGAAATTTGTCACAAATTGATTGCAAGTTTTACCCCAAACAAACATACTTACATACATACAGATCAAGTTAAACAAAAGCATAAAAATTAAAGGTGACTTGTAATAGTTGGAGACATTTTTTTTATTGATATCGAGTAAAACCAAAAAACTTATGACCTTTTTTATACAAAATGGCCGCCAAAGTAAAACAAAGGTTAAAAATTCTTGAAATTTTGACTTTACAATGCCGAGATTTCCCTCAAAACTTAAAAACCATCATTTTTTCTAACATATACAATTAGCTAAAAAAGCTACCTAGGTCGTTTTTCATTAGGGGTTTTCGTTTAGGCGTGAGAATCTTTTTTTAGAACTACTGCCGATCATCTTAACCCTATAACTCCCCAGGGTTGAATTTTAGACCCCACCTCCCATACAATTATTTTTTCACCTGGACCTCCCCTATCACCTGTCAAAAGAAAATCACTTATCACTGGATACGCTGTATAGACTGAGTCTTCTTTGGCAGACCCCTTTTATACTAGTTGGAGCAAGTTCTCCATGGCCATGTGGAAGCCTATGTTTTTCTTAGCACGCTTTTATATTGATATAACAGTATATAAGAAAAATATTTATATGGGTAATTAGTCTTAATTCTCGGCTTAAAATATATAACTTCGCTATCGACACAGGGACCTGCCGCACTCAAAACATATATGTACATAACAGACCGTTTCACTGAAAAGGAATAAAACACAAGATAGCAGGGTTCAATCTACACCGGCATCAAAAAGATCACTGATAAACCGAAAGGCATACAAAGAAAAAAAGGTCCAAATGCTAAACTCCGTTGTACAAAAAGCTTTAAGAATGTGTTCAGTCTGTGAGACAGCATGTTCGTAACGGAAGGTTAACGCAAAATGCCTTCGCAAATTATATGCGTATTTGTCTGCATTGTATGCAATTAACGGTTATTTTAATCTTAATCTCAGTCTTGATTTTAGTCTTAATCCTAATATTAAATTCAATCGTGGCCAACGACCCCTGCCATCCCCTACCTTCATCTGTCACTTCAAAAATGTGCCTAAATTCAAATCTTAGAAGCAATTTAAAAGGCGATGATAGTCAATGTTGAAAAGCGTGGTTCCATGCAGCCGCATCAGCTTGTTTTCAGATATCAATCTTGCTGCAACGCTGCATCAAATAAGCCCGCTTAAGTGAATGCATTCTCCCTCTGAACTTCCCTTAAAACTTATTATAAAGACTTGTGAAAAGAGATTACGCCAGATAAGCTGACCTTGAGCATTGCATATTATTTTGATGAGAGAAAGTTAAACGTTGCTGACGATTTAGGTCAGTCAAAGAGCCGGCAAGAGCTACGCATGAGGTAAATCAGTTCTCCGGGTAAAGGGCGTGTAAAAAATACATTAAAAGCATCATATATATTAGAATTTACAGTCGGAGTACAAGAAACAAGCCTAAAATAGGACATTGAACGAACAGCAGAATCGGATTATCCTGACTAAAATGGTTGCCATAAAAACTTTGGAGAACAGCGAAATGCGGGCCGTAGGACTAGACGCTGTCCTAAAGACAATTAAAACTGTTTAGGATATTTTCCTTTTAGAATAATATGAATCTGATAGACAAAAGAAAGGCAGTCAGGGTTTTATTTCTGATATTGAAATCTTATAGTTGCCAATATACTTACGACATCTTAAATTATCCTTAATCCGAAATTAATTTCAATGAACAATTAAATTAGACTTTTCTTCTCATTAATTTTGAAATTTGTGTTAGTAAAATCAATGGTAGTGGAAATATGATTGTTTTTGGTGATGTTTGTTTGTGATTTGAAGGGGCCTTTTCACATTTACAAAAACAACTGTCGAATAATTTAGTAAATGCACCAAGCAGTTAAAGTTGAAAATCATATAGAACTTATTCTGCTGAGTGGGACTGTAGATGACACTTGGAAAATCCTGCAATCTATGGCTGTAAACCACTTTTACTTTAATCTTTCATTTCTTACATTTACAATAAAGTATACATATGTTGTTCCCTTTTTTCGAGACCCGAACACTATTGTCTCAGCACTTGATAGAATCAAAGACGTCAAATATGTAGAAGCAATTCGAAAAGCTCAAGGCACAGAAGACATTTTCGTTAATTTTAGATGACCATTTTAATTATAATTCATTACTTTATCACCAACAGGAGCGTTTGCGCTTGAAAATCATTGAACGTCTACTGAAAGAAGGTTCCAATGCCGATGAACCCCTCAACATTCCGCTTTCCGATTATTCAAGGTAAGTTTTTCACAATACCATTAAAATCAATGTAACCAGCGGATCCCCCCACACCTCTACAGCGACGAAGGAGGCGTGTCCAGCTCAGAGAATGAATGCCGCGGCTCGAGTTTTTCTGACTTGGAAGGACCCTGCTGCGCTCTAACCAGAGCACCACCGTCTACACCAGAAGCAGAGGTACAAAGTCGGCGGGTATGTACTACCTATCCTCACAGCACTTTGTAACCAAAAATCCCGTCCTTCATCCCAATCCCGAAATTTCCTCAAATTGCACAGCATAAATTAAACCGCATGCGTCGTGTTATGCACGAACTCGATCGCATCTACTTCCAACCTTTATTCCAAACGAAATTCCGTGGTTTTATGCGTTTTAAATGGTCCAAATCGAAGCGCACCAACAAGAAGAGCTCAAAAAAGAAGAGTTCAAGTAGTGTTGATGAGAATGCAAAGTCACAAACGCGAAGGCTCGGCGGTGGCATTGAAGGAAATGATACAATTAACAAGAAAGAAAAGATTTTTAAGAATGCGGTTGATGGCTCATCGCATGAAAGTGTATCGGTGCAATCACCAGGTTCTGCATTAAATGCAAATGGTTCAGAAGGTTGTGCATTCCTATCGGCCGAAGGTGGCACCGATGAATCGAAACCAGATTGTAGAAAAGTGTCACACAAATCTCATACCACCAAGAAAAAATCCAAGGGCTCGCCAGCTTTGAGGGAGTCACCACAAGCTCCACGCTTGGTTGTTTCAAGAAAACTTCGTATGTGGTTGGCGGACAGACAAATTTTCATCTACCGCAGGAAGCGAAAGGTAAAATAGCTATGCACATGGTACTCCACTACTTCTGTGTCGAATTATGGTACATTGTTGCATAATTATGAAAAACGGTCTGGGGGGTGTTTTTTTTCTGCTCCAATTCTGTTTCTTCCAGCTTTTGTATCCATGCAAACGACATGGGCAAGGCAACGGAGCCGCTGTATTTTAATTCGCTGCACTATAAGGCTAATCATGAATTTTCATTCCGTGTGAACTCGTTCACATTTCGCCCATGCAGTTCGCCTATTTTATGTTCAATATTCACCAAGCGAAGTGGTTCACTTAGAATCTCACTATCGGATAGCGTATTCAATGGTGAAATAACTGTCACTCATAGATAAAACCGCAGAACAAGTGCTAACTTCTTGCAAATATAGGAAGTACTCGTACACGGTTAAAAATTTCGGTTTTAATTTTAAACTTTTTGGACTACATATATGACCAAACTAAATTCAGTTTCAAATACAAACCTTCCAAGTTTAAAAAAAAGAGAGACCAAATTTTCTATATATGAAACCTAAAAACTAGAATCAAACCATTTTTTTCAAAAATCAACGGTAGATTATAGCCACTTAACGTGCATTTTATTATACTGAAATTAAGTGAGCTACAAAACTGCATACTCAAAAAAATTCTAAAAAATTTGGTTTAAAAGTTGAAAATTTTGGTGAAAATTTGTCGAATTTTCCTAAATTTTGTTAAAACTTTGAATCATTAATTTATATGCCATTTGATGCAGAATGAACTATATTTCTCTTAAAAATTAACGAAAAAAATGTATTTCGAAAAACATTGCGAATATTAAAAAAACACTACCGAGACATATTCTGGCTAGTGTATATTCAACAATTTTATTGAGCTTGAGGCAGTATTTAATGAAAAATTTTGCGAAAAAACAACAATTTAAATTTTCCACAAAAATTCTCTTAAAAACGGCCTCAAGCTCAATAAAATTGTTGAATATATTTGTTATAAGGCCATAAATAAATATTGCACACAATTTCAAATTGGATTCACACGGTTTTTGTTAAAGAATGAACTAAAATTTTATTAAAAAAATAAAAATTAAATGCGAAAAAAATTATTGGTAAAACTTGTCAATGAGTGGCGGGTTTTTATTTTGTATTTTGAAACGAGATGTAGCATTTAAGTAATGTATTAAAATTTTACTTTATTACCGCATACGAGTTGTTTTTGTGGCCCGCCGGCTTTTCATCAGATGGCGAGTTCGTCGGCGAGTCGATACGAAGTCATTTGGCAAATTTGGTGATGACACTACACGGTTAAAAATTTCGGTTTTAATTTTAAATTTTTTGGACTACATATATGACCAAACTAAATTCAGTTCCAAATACAAACCTTCCAAGTTTAAAAAAAGAGCACATATATTGGGTTTAGAATTTAAACAGTTCGGTTTAAATTTTAAGCCCAAACATTTTCTTAATTAAGAATAAAAGTAAAGTAAGTGCGCCTGGGCCACACTGGAGAAGTGAAACTTAAATATACATACTTACATATCAATTTTGTCTCATAACCAATATACATACATACATATACACATACAAAACCGACAAAAATATCGATAACAAAATCGATGCCAACTTCGGTAAAAATTTCGATAGCAACATCGATAATATTGGTAGCAAAATTGATTAGAAAATCAATAAAAATATCGACAACAAAATCGAAAATAGCATCGAAAACAAAATCGATAAATATATCGCTAACAAAATCGATAACAAAAATCGATTAGAAAACCGATAAAAATATCGATAAATAATCGATAACAAATTCGATAAATAATCGATAACGAAATCGATAACAAAGTCTATAAAATAATCGATAACAAAATCGATAAAATATCTGTACCAAAATCGATGACAAATTCGATAAAAATTTCGATAGCAAAATCGATAATAATATTCGTAGCAAAACCGATAGAAAATCGATCAAAATATCGATAACAAAATCGATTAAAACCTCGATAACAAAATCAATAAATAATCGATAACAAAAATCTATTAGAAAATCAATCAAAATATCGATAACAGATTCGATAAAAATATCGATAACAAAATCTACAAAAATATCGATAAAGAAATCAATAAATAATCGATAACGAAATCGATAAAAAGTCGATAACAAAACCGATAAAAATATCGATTATTACATCGATAAGTCCCGAGATAACCGAACATCTCTACAATTTTAAAATAGTTCCCAAATTGACTCTCTGTGTCTCTATCTATATCCTTTTCTCTATAAATAACTTTATTTTAATCTTTCTTCCGCTATCTTCATCTATACTTTTATCGGTATCCTCATCCTCGTCTTTTTCTTTATATTTATTGTTGTTTTTGCTTTTATGTTTATCATTTTCTTCATCTACATGTTCCCTTCACCTTTGCCCTTATTTAAGTAAAGTGTTTAAATTTACCTTGGTCTTTATTTTTGCCTTATCTTTACGCATCTTTGTTTCAGTTTTTATTTTACCTTTGCTTTTATCCTTTTCTTTATCTATGTAATTAGTCA